CCCCCCCCCCCCCTATAATCATGATCTCCTAATATCGTCGTTCTCTTAATTAACACCTGAAAACAGCTGTATAATCGTCCTATGAAAATTGCCTCTTAAATCCATTAGTGCCATTTTATGGACATGACATGTTTACTTTGGGTTGGTACTTAAGCGAAGCCAACGCAATAATTTCACCAGTATGTTCTCGTCAGTTGAGCCATCGTTAAAGCATTATATTATGATCTTTAATCCCCAAACAGGTTATTGATGGCTATGGTTGCACAGAGGTCTGTGGTCCCGCATCAGCTTCATATGGTGGTGACATTAGTGGAGGACACGTCGGTTCACCATACCCTTGTGTAGAAATTAAACTCTGCGATGTCCCTGAGATGGATCTCGTAGCCTCGAAGGACAACAAAGGCGAGGTGAGTGCAAGTGCTTAAACGTCGTTAATAGTATGTATTTAGAATTGGTTGATGCAGTGCTTCACTTTTAGATTTGTATTCGTGGTGCCTCCTGCGTGAGTGGATATTACAAGAACCCTGAGGCAACGAAGCAACTGATTGACGAGGATGGTTGGCTGCATACCGGTGATGTGGGGGTTTGGTCTGTAAGTAATGTTACTTATCTATCATAAGTAAAATCCCTAAAGTACCGTGGATTCATTGTTTGTTTACCTTTTTAGGACGGTTGCTTGAAGTTGGTCGATCGTTGCAAGCATATTTTCAAGCTGGCTCAGGGAGAATACGTAGCACCAGACAAGCTGGAGCTGGTGTATCAGAATAGTCCTTTGATTGCCCAAGTTTTTGTCGATGGCAACCCACAACACACCTTCCCTGTTGCTCTAGTTATTCCTGAACGTGACGCTCTAACTAAAGCTATTGAAAAGCTTTCAAGTGAGAATCCTAAAAGCTCCTCCATTGAGGATATATGCGAAGATCCTTGTTCAAAGAACATAATTATGCGGGAGATGCAAAAATTAGCCGAGAAAGCCGGTCTCATGGGTTTTGAGAAAGTGAAGAACATTAAATTGCTAACAGACCCCTTCACAGTTGAAAACTCTCTTCTAACTCCAACTCTGAAAGTTTTTCGTCCACAAGTTCGAAAGTTATACGCAAACGTCTTGGCTGACCTCTATAAGCAGGGCCCCGTTAACTAATTCGTTCTGGATCTCCCACTATTTTTCCGTCATCCGTCGTCACCATAAAGCATCAGGAAGAGGAAAAGATCCTTCTGATTGGCTTTTTCCATATTCAATTTTTTTATTCATTGTTATTCATGTTCCCTCTTTTAATTTTTAATTAGTGACATTGACTACCCTTTACCTTAAAGTAGTGCTCGAATGTCAAACAGCCGAGTATGTAATTTAAACATTTGCTGCACAGTTCTTCTTCTTATTCCGAACTTCTGGTAGTCGCAAGCAGTACGATTTTTTGATGAAAATTATCTGATTTGTGTTTTTCTAAGCATGTGGAATTAGTGAATAATACTCTGATTAGTCTCTGTAGTCTATTACAGCGCCAAACCGGTTCCGAACCTGAGTCAGGTCTGATCTTACCGTCTCTACTTTAATTGGTTGGCCTTTGCATTAATGGCATGGGGTTTAGCGTCTTCCTTGACAGTGTCCAATGTGTATATATAATGGTCCAAAAGGGTTAAGACCTGAGATAATTTAAGGAGGGGGTGGTGAGTTCGGACGTCGAACATCCATTGGGATCGGTGTACATACAGCTTGTAGCGCAGGGGGCAAGTGCGATCGTGAATGCAGTGACTTTTCAGCCAATAGTCTCTACTTTGTTTAGTGAACCCTTAATTGTATTTTAAAGTCCAAGATTTGTCAGTGACATTCAACCACAATGAGCAATATTTAAACTACACGCTCTCGATATTGTTGAGGGGATTATGCCATGGAGATTGTTAAGGTTTAGTTAGGGCTTATACGTATAGTAATTAGCTAAAAAAGTAACTTCATAATAACTACTAATATCAATGAGCTCATTATCGATTAGGTGAGAATGTGTATGTTTTAAACAGAATCGAGCTAATACAATCTAATATGACTGATGACAAACAGGCGCAAGCAAGTAAGTAGCTCACGATGGTTCTTTAGGTGCTTACCTGTAAGATGCACTGTTTCGAAGCCACTTTTCTGGCCGTCTTGTTACCTTCATTTTATTCCCCCCCCCCCTAAGTCCAGTTTTCCCGTTAAGCCGATAAGTAGGTAGATGAGCATAGCTTCTTCCACGCACCACTTGCTTCAATGCTTATGTCGATTTGGTCTCGTAAGTACAGGTGACTGTACCGCCCCTCCCCTCCCCCCCCCCCCCCCCCCCCCACCCTTGTGTCTATCAACTTCCTGCCAAAGAATTAACCAACTTGAAACTACCATTGAGCAACTCACTTTCATCTCAAATTTGCTCCCTACTTGATAAGCCTCCAAAATTGCCAATAATCCCAAAATGCAATTATTAAATTTATAACGATTGTTAACTTCTCAACTTCTCTGAATGAAGACCAAGTAGTTACTTATAACGTCGAATAAAGACATCGAGAGTTTCGTTTACTGAAAAAGGTGAGAAGTATCCTAATATTTTCCCTTAGTTTTGGATTTAAAATTTGGAGCTAATTCTTAATAAGTAATATCAGATGATTTGCAAAGTTCTGAATTCCAATTATCGACCCAAATTACCCTAGTTAGAAGAAAATTTCGAATATAAGCTTAAAGTATTTTTGCCTAAGTAACGAATTCAGTTGTCTCCTTGGTAAATTGGAAGGGTGACACCACGCAGTGTGTTGAAAGTAAATATAAAATTTGAAAAATTCCCTGATTTAATGGTGCTAAGTTAAACGTGGAGCATTAGTTCAACTGAGAAGATAATGTAGCCTTCATTATTTCCATTAAATTAAGGCTAATTTTCATATTCCCACAAATATGTCACCTTGTTACTTACGAAGAGTAGGTTAGGTGATGTAAATAAATTAAATGAAAAATGGAAAAATAATGATTGAAAATGTTACTGAAGAAAATCTTGATAACAAAATCCCCCATACAGTTTCTCGTCCTGTGACCTTTAGAAATTAAATTTATCACTGAACTCACCAAGCACTTGTACAGAGGTCTAGACTTACGGTTAATGAAAGGTAGGCATTCTATGACAAAGAGAAAACGAAAATTATTGCAAATTTATGCAAAATTTTGATATGCGTGCAGTTGGGTTTTAAGAAAAAAATAGTATGAAAATGTCCAGAAAGGTGATTTTAATGAACTCATCTACCGAGTATTAAAATTGAACCGAGTTTTCAGTCCTTGAACAAAAGAGGATTTAAATTTAGAAAAAATGTGGAGGAAGCTAACAAATAAAGGAAAGGTAAGGCGTCGTCAATACTGACAAAAATATCGAATTAGCAGAAAATAACCATGAAAGTTTAATTCACATATTCAGGAGAAATCTAAAGATTTGAAGAGGCGAGTTATATGCGCAGACATTAACCTCACCAAACCGGAGGACCTAACAAATCTCGAGACAATTCAAACCCAAGAGAGATATAATGAATGAACGGGATACGGAAATAACGAAAAAAGCGCATCTTTTTTTCAAGGAAATGCGAAATCTTTCTGTCATTGGTATGATTTCGTAAATAACAGAGATAACTAGATTTCTGATCTTCTTAATCTCGTGCAACCGATCATTAATATACACCAAGATTATGTTAAAATTCAACAACTTCCAAAATTTCAGTAGTTCAGTGAAGTGTACAAATATTTCAGTCTTTCTACTCAACATCCAAAGGTAGCACTTCGAAGTAAATAAATTCAGAGTGGTTTGCATAAAAAGAAGAGATTCAAGGCAGCTAAGTGTGTGGAAATATCCGAAAAGGGGAAACAAAAGAAAATCATTGTAATGAGATTCACAATATCATAAATGTGACATTTTATTTTCAAATCAAATATAAAAGCACTACTTAATCATTGGCAATAAGATTTGTTATGATGTAGTTTGCGGATATACTAAACCCATTTGTACAGTCAGGCTGATGTTCTTGAAAGCAAATGACATTTTTTCAGACTGAAAGCCTAAATTCCATCTGTACTGTGGTTTTTCTTCGTTTACTTTTATACACTTCGTAGATAGGCTCATTCGTGCATAAATTTGCAATAATTTTCGTTTTCTCTTTGTCATAGAATCCCTACCTTTCATTAACCGTAAGTCTAGACCTCTGTAGGTATTCATTGGTCCAGTAATGTCACACAAGTACATGATGAGTTTAGTGAAAAATTTAATTCCTAAAGGTTACAGTCTAACTTGGCATGCTCACCTATAGGACGAGATTTTTCTTCATTATCGTTTTCCATCATTATTTTTTTACATTTTTTTCACTTTACTTATTCACATGACCTAGTTTAGTCTTTGTTTTGTTTTCGTAAGAAACATTATGACTTATTTGCCGGAGGCTCACAAAAAATGGTAAAAATATGAAAAGAAGTCAAAAGAAAGTAGAAAATATGCAGCCGCACTTTTCTTCTCAAATGAAATAATGCTTTAACTTCCCTTTAGTAATATTATACTATAGGGGTGTGCGATAGATTTACCTCCACGTGGTGCACCCTGAAAAAACATATACTCATACGACAGAATAGTCTATTAACCGGCAGTCGACTTCTGACTTCAAACTACCGTCACACCACCGCATGTCCTATTCGACTGCTTCCATAGTACTCATCTCACATTTTTCCACCTTTGTGTCTGTCTCTTTTACATCGTTAAAACACTCTTCTGTCCCACCCCCCTTCTCGACTTTTTGTCACTTTGATGTTCCTCCTCGTCTCTGTGAGACCTGAAGTCAACTATAGGACTAATGATAACTATCAAAACGCCTGCCATTTGATATCAATAAATATTATACTATAGGAATTTTCAAATTTGACACTGCATGGTCTATGGTGATGAGATTGTTAGAATGGGTAGGCAAATTGAGTGATTACTATTTTGGGTAATAAGAGCCTCAAACAGTTTTGGAAATAATGACGATTTAGACGTGAAAAGTTGTTGCATAAAGGCAAGACTTAAAATGGCAATGGGAGTATAACGATTACGTTTGCTGATAAAGACGAACGAATCCAAACTTTATAGTTCAGTAAACTGCCCCCCCCCCCCACTCGACCGAGCACCTTTTAACATAAGGTCAGTAACCTATTAATGAGTACATATTTTCAGTCTGTTCTGACAATCATTGGAAGTAGTTAAAAACTTGGTCTCCTACTAATTTATTTATAGGACTTCAGTAAAATGATATAGTTCTCGTCGCGTGGCCGTCTTTTTAAGCATCGTGTTATTTTTCTTTTGCAGAAAAATAAAGTCACCGAGTCAAGAACTCTCTTCCGATCTCCACGCTTAATCTCCGGGAGCTTGTTAAAGGTTTACGCACTGAGAAATGCAATGGAAAGGCGAGATGAGTGACATAATAATATTGCCCTTTTCCTAAACGTCTTTGTTTGACAACTCTGTCAGATGCAAAGTTGGATACTTAGCTTTCCATAAAAGAAAGCAAAAATGTTGAAAACATCTGCACTGTTCCAGCTTCGCATGGTTTTGCGTTCTTATTAGCAAGTAAAGTGGGTGGATTGAAGTAGACATCTAAATCACAGCTAATTCAGTTAAATTGGCGAGGATATGGTAGCAGCTGCACCCTGACTCATAGTTTTATTTTGTCGCTGCATGTATTGAGCCCATTCAAGCGTAAAGCTAATTGTAACTTGGCTATTGATGACTCATTCTGCAATCACACAATACCACAATGAGAAAGAAAGAGACTGACCCTCAAGGCGTACTTTAATTAGTTCCGGGCTGATGTCTACCTCTTTACTTCCAACTTGCCCTTCTACTTCCTCCTCTCCTCTTTCATTCGTTCCCAATAGAGCATTATCCACGCAATGCTCAGTAACATTTAGCCTTCTTACCCAGAAAATATTATTTTACCACATCAGCCATAAAAGCTCCACTGTTCTCTATGGGGGTATCAAGCTTGACTTAATCTACTCCTTAAATTAGTAAGACCGACAGAGCTGATGGCACTTTGTAGTCATTCTAGCTCACATCAGCCAATATCTGCTATTGCCTTGATCTCATTTCTGTCAAAGCATCACTTGGTGATGAGAGA